GGGAGGGGGAGAAGATTGACAGACAGACAGTGAATTGGGTTGGGTTGCATGTCGAGTCGTGGGACACATAGTTTTGGGAGTGCAGATGGACCCTGAGTGGTCCCTGACGAAAGGGACTCTCCATAGTCGAAAAGATGAAACAAACCCGCAGCGGAACCTGGGACTTCGGCTAGCGACGCATTACTGTGTTTACTGAGTAGATACAAGAGACTCAGTACTTGTAAGGTACGTAGTATTACCCCTGCCAGCCCATCCGTCGCACCATCAGCCCGGCCCGTCGCTTCATTGGCTGGGCCCAAGGCGGTTGGCGCCGGCATTTGCCAATCAACGCCTGCAGGTCGTGGATTCACTCTGATTGATCGGCTTGTAACTAAAAGTAAAAAGTATCATTCATCCGCCAGCCTACTAGTTAGACAACGTTGTCCGACCGGTCATCTTGCCCTTTCCACATCTTCCGATCATTCTTTCTGCTCGGCGAATGAGCCACCAAAGTTCGCCATTCGGCTTGGTCAACTGTGACCCGCTCACTGACCGAAGCTCCCCTTGCCCTTACATTGCAGCCTTTGCGGAAGATGAAGCCGACGTGGGGCGATGGACACAGCCTCGCAGCCACTGAGCAAAGATGTGCATTTCTATGACTCTTTCCAAAAGGCAGCAGCAAATTGTGAGTCCAGGCGAAACAAATTTTCCTTTTTTTTCGCCTCTACCAAGATCCCAACATTCCATACGTACGAAGGACACTGAAGAAGTTCGTTCTCCTGTCATCATTCCAGTTCCTATCAACCGGAGGCTGTCATTATCAGGCTCAACGAAACCCCATTGTAAGAGATGGCGTGGGCGAGATCATTCCTGGGACACCTCATTCGACCACAGAAAAACTCAACTAAGCATACATCTCCATCTCCAAGATGATCCTTCAGCCCAATCCCAAGCTCCCCAGGCAATTCCTTTCACCCAGCCATGACCGCGTGTGCCGACTTGGCGCTTCGGTGGCGAACCAAATGCCCGTCCATGTCTTACCGGTGAAAATCTTATTGCATCCCGCTGCCCCGTATAGAGCAAAGCATACTACACTACACCAACTCAAGCCCTTTTTTTTCTTTTCCGGTCCAGAAAAAGAAAACAAAATACTCCGTATGCAAGTGGTAGGGAATGTTGGCAATCCTCAGCCGCCGACTTTCGACCCAACCAAGATACAAGTAAACATCCAACCTCCTGCACCATGGTTCAGATCATGATCCCCGCATGGACGGACCCTGTCGGCGCAAAAGTTTGGTCGGATCGGTGGGGTTCTTTTACCCTCCCACCGTTTCTTTCTTTCACCAAGTCGGAGGGCGGCTGGCTCCGTGATTTAATTGCTACACGTTAATGCCGGTTACTGGATTCTTCGTTGCTGGGATCATGGATCAAAGGAGCACGTAAACGCGCTGCGAGTCAACAATTTCTTTGTGCGATAGCCGCCCACTGTGTGCGCCATGTGGATTCAATGCATCATTGGTTACACATGACTACTAATAGTAACAGATAGTATGCGCGATATATTTAGGTAAGAGTTGCTTCTGAGAAACCTGCATAGATCAGGTCAGGCACACCAAAACATAAACCAATAAAGGGGATGGATTAGTAGATGCTGTCCTATGACGTCGTCTATCGCCTTCAGTACTTTTTCTTCCTAATTTACTCAACATCTATACCACCTCAAAAGAGACCTATCTACTCAATACACGACCCAGCTACACTCATCTACACAATCACAAAAATCACCAAGCATGTGATTCCAATACTTACTACTAATCAACTTTCAAACCCAGCAATAGTCAACCCCACAACAAACTATTAATCACATCACCAAAAACTTGGCAAATTAAACCCATCATCCCATCATCATCAAAACACGAACTGGACCCATCAAAGAAAAATTCTACTACTATTCTTCACAGATTTTAGACAGTAGGTAGTACAAAGTACTACTATTACTAGCTCCGGAAGCCCCGAAACGATTTCGGCAGTTTCGAGAATCATCGAGATTGAAATTGCGGGGGGTGGGTGTAGTAGGTCAGAGAAATCAATCTGAAACAGAGAAGGCGGCGGGAGATCGCGACTGTCAGCTAAGCGAAGGGGTTGATACTACTCCATAATCTCAATGAATTATATGATAAAGAGAAATTTATTATTATTCGATGGTCTGAAAATTGAGTCAGTGAGTTAAATTATCAATTGATAAATGCGATAATATTGTTGCCTACCTAGTTGATAAATATTTGTTTTGTTGGCGGTGATAATAAGATTGCAGTGGATATGATATGGGTTGATAAAATTATTTATGATGATAATGAATACTACTCTACTATATTTGACTTTGGGGATAGGTGGGACAGTTCTGTGTGTAACTACGATCGCAGTAATTTAACCTGCAGTAGAATCTGTTTAGTATTGTCTGACTACCTATTATGTGATACAATAATAATAATATAGAAGAATGTTGGCGATTACTATACGGATAGTAGTCCTAAGTCTTCAGTTGCAAAACGTTGTTGTTGACTGGGGCCGGGCTGGTTCGGGCCACAACCATCTGACAGTGGATACACAAGGGGATCATCATCGGTAATGAAGGGTGGATCGAACTCCTGGCTTAAGTCTCTGGAACATTGTCTAGACCCTTTTTCTTCTTCTTCTTCTGCCTTGTGCAGAGTTGTGTTGGGGATGCTGGCTAATACTTGATTACCTTGGATCCTCATCTCAGCAAGTCTGTTGCCACTTTACAGGGCGGGTACTATTATTGAGGGAATTATTTGCCGCATATTGATGTTTAGGCATATTCTTTGGTAATAGATATCGTGTTAATTTGAGAAATGCTCACAGTTTGGTAGTTAGAGGGGGAAAAATGTTAGGAATGCCAAGCTGTGAATGTCTAGAGATATGGCATGAGTTTTCCGAGATAAGTCCGTAGACAAGTTCAAATTCCGTTCACTCTATACAAAGAGTCTCTATGCAATCTATGGGAAATACACTCATAACGAATATACAACTATACTTGTTATCTTGGATCATGCTAGTTACTTCCACCGGTTGGGATAGGGGGATCTAGAGTACTCGTTTAGCCAACACGATCTCACTGAATGCAAAAAAAAAAAATGAAAGACCATGACTTACTCGGGTCTTCAGTGGTTCCATTATGAATTGCGGTCGTATCAACGCCCTGCAAATTATTAACAACATCCTGGTATGAATAAATGAGTGGCTCTCCACTTACCAATGTAATATACCCAAGGACTCCATCCCTATAATCCTGACCATCTAGTGGCTCCGTATCCATGATAGCCATGGCCCCCGCTGTTAATCAGACCACAGCATCAGCATTTCAACGGGAAATTAAACTGAAACCCAGGTTGCACGCATGCTTACTCAACGATTCCTCATGATAAACCCCGTCCTCTGACACTGGTTTCCGCTGGATCTGAGTGTGATGGGAATACGGAGGGACTGCCATGATCTCTGTGGCTACATCTTCGTTGACAAACAACTGGGCCGTATTGACTGTTCTGCCTGCACCGATGGTGCCATTGCTGGTTATACTCCAGTTTGTGTGCACTTGCACGTGAATGTGAATGGCACGATTGGTCTGGGAATTTCATAGTCAGCTTGCTTGGGGTTGACTTTGTCATAGCTGAACCATGAGTGTGTGTGCATGCTCACATAAAACCCAGGGAATATCGAGGTGAAGCTGGCCACGCCTTTCTCATCGGTGGGCCACATGCCCCGAAGCCAGGTTGTATCGTCCGTTGCTAGGAACTTTTGTTGCCCTTTATGTCAGATATTTTCTGTGCCAGAGCCAGATTGACAGACTGAAAGGTGGGGAGGGATAGTATTACCGAGACATCACTCATGCCGCTATCCGCATCAATTTGCGTACCAGTGCTTTCAAAGTACTGCTCGGGAAATGTGATATCTGGATTCAGGCCAGTGAAGGAACTATACGATCCAGTGGCGTTGCAATGCTATGCCGAGTCAGAAGAAATTCCGTTTAAATACTCTTTTCCTTTCTTCTGTGCGAAGAATGATGTGGAAAAGAAGAGTCAAGAAAGTAAGGGTGGAGGATGAACGCACCCAGACATCCACCAATGCATCCGTCAAGGGCTCGCAGGTATGGATATCCATGAGGCCAATGTCCATGACGAAGGGTACCCCAATTTGATCCTCCACAATATTCTGGCGCAGAGTCTGACTCCGCGGATAAATATAGGGTCCCGGGCTAGTTTCCGGCGTGAGAATGCAGGTGTCATTCTTCAAGAAATCGTACTTGGGAGCCTCAGCTGTGATGGTGTACGTGGTGGTGCTGCTGCTGCCATCGTCCTCGGATGGTGACAATGCCCGTCGGCGCATTGCATGCCGGTTCCTCTTCAGAAGGCCGACCGTGTCGGAACACCTTTTCGCCAGTGCACCACGGCGCGCCAAGTGAATGGGATCGGGTTGGGCATGTGGTCCTGGGTGTGCTGGTTTAAATTGGGTTAGAATTGAACTTGGATAACTCAGAATAGGGAGTCACGGACCCTGGATGAGAGATGCCAGCAACAGAACCGAGCCTAACAAGAGAGACTTCATGGTGAGATGCACAAGAAACAATACCGTGCTCAGAAGCTTTTAGTGCAACGCTTGGACAGAGTTGCAGCTTGAAGACCCGGGATAATAAGCTTTATATCCGCAGAGCCCGAAAATGGATGTCGTCAACAAGTCCATGGTCCCATGGGGGAAAGGATCTTCAAAGATTAAACCGATCGATGTAACTATACTACATTGCCGTAACCATAAAGTTCAAAAGCTATGAGTGTTGCAACGGAATATGCTCCCGTTCTTTTCCCCTCCTTTTTCTTCTTTATTTCTTTCCTTCCGTTTAACTTCTGCGTTCTAAATTTGTTTCATTCTAATTACTCCCGGTTGTCAAGGCATTTGCGCTATTTACTCTGAAAATTTCTTGGTATCCTTGAGTAGCTACAAATATCTCAGTGATAAGCATAGCCGCTTTCAATCATCTCCTTGGCACGTTTGGTACATTCATCGAGGTCCTCCGGGGGCAATCCCAGGGCATCATTGGCCAGGCCATGCTTCTCTCCAAAATTACCGTCCCCATTAGGGTAGAATTGTCGTGTGTATAGCATTTGAACATATCCCAGTTTTTCATTCTTCTTCTGCAGCCGTTCCTGGCCTCGGACATACCGATCGTGGCTTTTCTCGTGTTCAATAGTCCATTCCTCGTCCTTATCGCCGGTGACCTTCTTCAAACTCTCGAACATGTCTTTCTGACTTATCGTAAAGCTAGCAATATACAGTGGTCTGTTCTTCCATGTGCTCACTGTTGGGCTTGTATCCCCTGGACCATCTGGCAGTTCCTTCAGATTCAAAAGGGCGGCAACTGCACGGCCACATTGATCCCAAGTACTGACATTTATCTTCGTGTCCCCATTGTCAATAAGGGTGAGATGCTTCCTTTGCATTTCAAACCCGAAACACTCCGCTCCCCGAGCCATACTAAACTCATACCAGAAGCCGCAGACGAGCGCAATCCACGAGCAGACATTCGTAGCCTCGATTTCCTGAAGAGTCTTGCGAATCACATTGCCTCTGCCAGTCTCCTTGGCCAGAGCGTCGTTAGTGAAGTCGGACCCATAGGCATTGGGCATCACGTATGGAACGCCGGCTTCGGCTGCTGCTCGGATTAACTTGGACTGAGTATCCGGCGGTGCCATGACAGACATGGTAATTACGAGAAACTGTTGGCCTTGCAGGGCCTTGACAAGGGTAGACTCATCATCGTAGTCAATGTAGCAAGGTATGACCCCTTCCGGTAACTCCTTCTTGCCCTTTAACCGGGTCAACCCGGTAATTGTATGCTTGCCTGTCCTGACAAGCTCTGTAGCGATGTAACGACCGATGGAGCCAGAAGCCTAGGAAACATCAGGGTCAGTAAATAGAGATGCGATGGCCAAGATCCGTATTCTGACTTACACCAACGATAGCCACTCGTTCAATGCGATTCGTGAAGCCTGGAGGCTGGTCTTTGGCGTACTCTGTAGCCATTGGACTTTGGGGGTAGAGTACGATGGGGTGTCTATTGATGAGATACCCAGAAGACCTTGAGACATCAATCAGGAATCTAAGACAGTCAGTCACACTGCAATAGGGTCAAAGCAGCAGTACACATAACACTATTCTAGGGGAAACCAACAGAAAGTACTACGTAGTAGACCTAGAAAACACTAGTCCAGAATGTGGTTACAAAGCAGCACAAGGCGGCGATTAGTCAAGGAGACGTAAGTCACCTGCTGCAATCACAATCACAATCACAATCACGCCATGCTTATTCACTACTACGTCCATTCCTCGTCCATTCCTCAGTCATTCTTTCACCATCCATCGCGCTCCCCCCCCCCCAACCAACACCCCCTTGCTTCGGTACGCTGCGACTTGCCACAGACTTGAAAGTCTCTACCAGTCTACCTATGCATCAGTGGGTCCAATCAAACTAACTTCACAACAAATGATGATGAGATAATGGAAACAGTGGGGAGGGGGAAACAAAAGCCATGGACAGTGAGTAATTCAGAACTTGGCCGCAATCGGTAAAGCTTGGTCGCATGCTATCGACGCGTCCCTCTTGCAATATACAAGCCTATAGATAGCTCACTGCTGGCCCGACAAGGAAGTACTGGACCAACCCAACACCAGGCAGAGCACTCATACCGTCACTCATGCATCTCAAGTGGCTGACCCTGGTGTGTCTGCCCTCTTGGCCATCAGCATGGGCTCTGTACAACCAGTCTACAGACTTCCCTGACCAGGACATCGACAACGGAGTTGCATTGCAGCAGATTGCCAATGATTCCCTGGGAAACATGAAGCTTGAGTCTCTGGCAACCAATGGCTGCCGTTTTGAGGACGCCCAAATCCGCAAAGAATGGTAGGTTTATCCTGCGCAAGCCACTTCTGACCCTTGCTATCGGTTAAGGCCACCATCTCACGTCCCGGGTAGGCGCAGCTTGTCTCTAGCTGCAAGGAAAGAATTCACCGATGCTATCGTCTGCTTGCAGAGTCTTCCCGCAAATATTTCAGCAGAAGAAAAGGAGACCTTCCAGGGAGTACAAACTCGGTATGATGAGTTCGTAGCTACGCATATAAATCTGACGGAACACATCCATGTGACGGTTGGTAAAAGTTCGTTGAAAAATCAAAAGTCGAAGCCATCGCTGAAACGTTATATTGTAGGCTGATTTTCTCGCCTGGCATCGGTTCTTTCTTTATGCATTTGAAAATGCGCTACGATTTGAGTGCAACTATACAGGCACTCTTCCCTACTGGGAATGGGGGCTTGATGCGGAGAACCCCCAAGGCTCTGTCCTCTTCAATGGTGACCCATACAGTATGGGGACTAATGGGGTAGACTTGAACCGAACAAGCATCTACTGGGAATCTAAAAACATGAGCATCCCCGCCGGGACTGGGGGAGGGTGCATATATGGGGGTCCTTTCTCCAATTACACAGTGCACATGGGCCCTATTGATGCTCCTGGAGAGCAGCCAGTCCAATACAACTTGGAGTATAATCCGCGCTGCTTATCGCGAGATGTGAACCCCACCATCTCACAAATGTCAATCTCCTTCCGCAACACTACGAAACTGATCCTCTCGTACGATACGATTGATTGGTTCCAGGGCGTCATGCAGGCAGACCAACGCTTCACTGATCCCACAGCTCCTTTCACATACGGGGTTCATGGTGGAGGGCATCTCACTGTTGGAAGCGTCTTGGCAGACATTGATACCAGCCCGGCCGAGCCGATGTTCTGGCTTCACCATGCACAGATCGACCGTGTTTGGACAATCTGGCAAGGACTAGATCCGGCGAAGAGACGAAACGCAATCTGGGGAACTTCAACCCGAGGCGATAACCCACCTTCTGCGAACATGACGTTAGACGATGTGCTTGATTTTGGGTTTATTTCTCAACCGCTGAAGTTTGCCGATCTGATGAACCCTCTGTCTGGACCGTTCTGCTACTACTACGCATAGCCGATAAAGTTTAAATTTTTGGATCTTGGAAATAAGTAACATGTAACGCCGACAGAAGTTAAATTTATCATCTTCGCTGGAAAAGAAAAACCGGGATAAGTCATTGATGTATGAAGCCGATCGGCCTGAAGTCAACTCTACCGGCGCGTTGTCAACTCTAAGCAGACACCCATCGTTTGCGGCAGTTGTGGGGAGGCAAAGTGGATCATCAAGATCCCAATTCCCCAAAACATCACGGCAAGAAAATTGAATTGAATTGGGGTTACATCGACTGACGGCGCTCCCGATCCAACCCCCTTTCTACTGGAAAAGAATTCCTCAGGGATACATAATAATTTGTGTTACTCTTCAGATCCGGGCGCATCCAAGTCTATTCTTAGCGGCTACAATATGTAACTCTACAACTACAACCCCAGTCTGTTGCTTAATACAACCAGAGAGAAGGAAAAAAAAAATGATATCAGCTCAACGAGAAGTCACAAAGATAGCATCCCGCATAAGTGTTAGTTCATTCCGCGGAGGATGACAGATTCCACATTGAGACAGTTTACCCTTAGGGGCCCTGGGGGATTGCTATGCTATACCCTCCGTTGCTACTGTCTCAATCCTTCCTTCATTCTTGGCCCATCCGTAGAATTTGAGCTCATTGGAGAGAAAAATCTCACTCCTCACTCACTATCTACGTACTACGGTCTGAAATTAAGGGCGGTCTGAATCAATAGCTCCTCAGCACAGTTACCGTACATTGTCCCGCGGGGGAGGGTCCATTGTCTGTTTTCAGCTTCACCGATATGAACTATCATAATCCGTAATCTCAACAAGGATGTCGGAAACAGTATGCACATGCTACATACTGTATGTATAGCCTGAAATTCGAATTGATCAAGGTTGTAATATTGCCTTGGCTTTATAATGATTTATGGTTTAAACCGACGACCTCTTCCCCCTTGGAATTTTGACGTAAGGTAGCCCGTCAGTCCGTCGATATGGCTTCCTCTGTCTTCTTGCCGCTATTTGCGGCCGCCGCATTACTGCCCACGCTCGCATCCACACAGAATACCGCCAACACACCGACATCCGCTCCTACCGTGCAAGTCCGCAATGGCACGTACGAGGGTGTCTATAATCCCACGTACGATCAGGACTTGTTCCTCGGTATACCGTATGCGCAGCCTCCGGTCGGTGAGCTTCGCTTCCGTCCACCACAACCGCTTAACACCAGCTGGTCCGGTACTCGAAACGCAACAGAATACTACAATGAATGTATTGGGTACGGCAGCGATGACTGGTACTGGACGGACGTGGTGTCGGAAGACTGTCTCGCTCTCAGTGTGATCCGACCTCACGGTATCGACTCGAGCGCGAATCTGCCCGTTGTCTTTTGGATGCATGGTGGAGAGTTTGCGGAGGGAGGCACTCGCGACTCTCGTTATAACCTCTCCTACATTGTTCAACAGTCCCAGGAGATGCAAGCTCCCATAATTGGCGTGACTGTCAACTACCGCCTTTCGGCATGGGGCTTCATCTACAGCCAGGAGATTGCTGATGAAGGCTCCGCCAACTTAGGACTCCGCGACCAACGGCACGCATTGTACTGGCTCCAGGAGAATATCGCTTCCTTTGGCGGAGATCCGTCGCGGCTCACTATCTGGGGCCAAAGTGCTGGTGCCAATAGCGTCGGTCTTCATTTAGTGGCATACGACGGCCAGAATGATGGCATCTTCCGTGCTGGAATTGCTGAGAGCGGCTCCGTGCCTTCCCTCGCAGCATACATGAATGCCTCGGAGGCACAACCCTACTACGATGCCGTCGTCAACGCAACCAACTGCACCGGCGCTTTAAACACACTTACCTGTCTCCGTGAAGTTCCCACCGACGTCCTGAGCTCCATTTTCAACAGCTCTCTCGTCGCTGGCGCAGGATATCATCCCGTCATTGACGGCGATTTCCTTAGAGCCTCTGGAATCGTTAATCTCCAGACTGGCCAATTCGCCAAAACCCCGCTTCTTATCGGCACCAACTTCGACGAAGGGACCAAGTACGCCCCTCACGGATACAATACCACCGACCAATTCGTCTCCCTCGTCCAAGCCAACGGAACCAACTATACCAGCGCTCTCAAGATTGCATCCTTGTACCCAGATGACCCAACCGTTGGTATCCCGGGGACCCTTCATGGCCGTCCCCCACCGTCATACGGTTACCAGTGGAAGCGTGTAGCTGCTTTCCTCGGGGACCTTCTCATGCACGCGCCTCGCCGTGTGACAACCCAGTCGCTGGCACGCTGGAATGTACCTACCTACGTGTATCACTGGAACGTGATGACACTGGGGCCATTAGACGGGGCAGCACACGGCTATGAAATCCCGTTCACTTTCCATAATATTGATAGTTTGGGCGATGAACGGGGAAATGACAGCGTGATCTGGCCACAGATATCGACTATGATGTCACGGATGTGGGTGAGCTTTATTAATCATTTGGATCCAAATCATAGTAATAGTGAGTGATGCCCCACCTACCTCTAGACACTACTTTGAGACGTTGAGAGTAAGAAGAGATGCTGACATGCTGCTCCGTAGTGACGGATATCCATTGGCCTGTCTACACGGCAGAAAACCCGCATAATATGGTCTTTGATGTCAATGTAACTGGGCTGGCTTATGTTGAACCGGATACTTATAGGGCGGAGGGGATTGCGTATATCACAAGCATTCTGCAGAGTTCCTTCAATCGTTAGGATAGACTAGTACCGTCAATATCAATAGAAATCACACATACAGAGGAACTCACATGTTCTCCCTAAGAGCCAGAGCTGTTCAATCAGACGGCAATGCATCCTCACACCTAGGGGAGGGGAGAGGGCTGGGGAGGTCTCAACTCGCCGTGGAACTAGAATCCCAGCAACGATAGATCCCGGAAGGCCAGATCTGTTGACTCATTGTTTGTTAGATCCCGATGTTGCATCCGAAAAAGCTTCCGTTTTGTCGTGGCAACCATGCTAAGAGGCTGCTGTAAAGGCGACTCTAGAAACTCCGTGGACTGCCACTATCTCGATGACTAAATAATAGAGTGTGTTTCCACCTCCTTGGCGTTTGGGATTCCGCGGAAGATTGCCTCAACTCCTAATGGTTGTCACGGCAGATGGCTTGGCAATGAGACGAGACCACGGGTGACCGACATGTGTCAAGCAGTAGCTATCGGAACCTGAGCAAGCATAGGTGTCATGGACTTTGCAGGCAAGTGCTTTCCGTTCTAGACCAACGGCTAGAGCGCGGTGAGCATACTCGGCGAGCTGAAAGGCGTTGCCGATTATCCGCTTTGTTTGTGCCCTTTCCGTTTCCGGGCGTAAGCAATCACATCAGGACAATGCCGTGTGGGCCTTAAGTGATTTCAACCAACCTTATCGCACTTTACCTCACAGTGATACAACCCGAGTGACTATTAGGGAAACTGAGCCTGTTGATCAACATACATTAGCACCACACACAAAGCTGCCAAGGAACAATAGTACTGTGAGAGCCGTGGAGATATTTCCTAACTTTGTCTCCAGATCTTGTACTACATACCCAACCAGGCAGGGGTCCGTATCAACGGCTCCACAGTAAATATTCATGAATCTTCATGTCGTCATGACTCATATCTCGAGCAATAGTGCTAGGTATCACTCCACCTAAAGTCGCAATGGCTGTAGAGCTCATCTATCGAGAATACGAGCAATAACCAGCAATTTATAAAGGCTAGGGCCATCCGGCTCAATCCCAACAGTTGGCCTCTCACGCCGGCATTGTACTGGTTAGGGCCCAAGTGAATCACAGAATTATTGGCACTTTTCATCGCTCCAAATGGCGTCTGGAATCCTGACATATCTGGAGCAGGCGGCCGAGTATTCGCCGTCTAAAGGCTTCGTCTTCTATAGTGTTGGTAAGGACCAACCGGAGACGATCCTTTATCCCGATTTTTGGCGCCTCGTCAAGGTAACATCCTCCCGCCTCAGAACCATGAGTCCCAACAGATGGTTTCATGTTTGCTTAGCTAACCACATCGTTATTAGCGTAATGCTCAAACTCTAGTTGAACAAAAAATTGCGGTGCCTGACCGGATTCTCCTCGTCCATTTTGACACTCACAAGGAGAACATCATTTGGTTCTGGTCTGCCATTGCAGCCGGGGCCATCCCAGCTGTGTCTACTCCTCTGGCTGTAGACCCAGTGGCTCGGGAGCGGCATCTAACCCACCTTCAGAGGCTCCTAGAGCGACCCAATGTCCTCACCAGTATCAAGCATACAGATGACCTGAGTATTGTCGATGAGTCTCAAAAGTTCTTTATCGAGGATCTGGCCTCGAATGCGGATCAATCCGCAGATTATGAACCTGCGAGTCCTTCGTCAGACCTTGCGCTGCTACTGCTCACCTCCGGCAGTACGGGCAACGCCAAAGCGGTGATGTTGCACCACTCACAAATCTTCGCCGCAATTGAGGCCAAATGGAAGGCACTAGCAAGCACTCCAGAAAACATTTTTCTGAACTGGATTGGTGAGAATGACTCTTGTAGCTCCCGGGCCATACAGGTGCAGCTAATACATTGTCTCAGGGTTTGATCATGTTGCCTGTTTCATGGAAATGCACATGCACGCATTATCCAGGGGTTGCCATCAAATTCATCTCCCAGCCGTGACGGTTCTGGAGAACCCTCTTCTTTACCTGGAAAAGATGGCAGAGTATTCTGTCACCAACGCTTTTGCCCCTAACTTCCTTGTGGCCCTGGTAGGAAAGGCCATCGAGGCCCAGCAGGAGCGGGATCCTCGTTCGCTTGATCTGGATTTGAGTCATTTGCGCATGGTACTCTCAGGTGGTGAAGCCAATCTCGCATCGACGAGCATCCTATTCAACCGCAAGTTGGTCGAAATGGGAGCCGCCAAGAATGTCCTCCATCCGTCTTTTGGTATGACAGAGGTAAGCTGCGCCGTCTGATGAACATATCGGATGACCTGACAGGTTGACAATATTGCGTTTGGTAGACATGCGCAGGTATCCACTATCATTACAGCTTCCCGGAACTCGAGCAGAAGGCTAAGCTGCAATTCTGCTCTGTGGGGCAGGCAACACCTACTCTGCAGATGAGAATCACCGATGAACATGGGGAAACGGTGAGAAGCGGCGAGAATGGAAACCTGGAGTTGTATGGGCCGATGGTATTCAAGGGCTATTACAATGACGACAAGAACACCAAGGCTTCCTTTACCGAGGAGGGTTGGTTTAAGACTGGCGACACCGGATACATTGACAACAGGGATAACCTTGTGCTTTCCGGACGATCCAAGGACAGTATCATCATCAATGGCATCAACTTTTATTCCCACGAGCTGGAGAATGCCATAGACTCGGCCGGGCTGGACGGTCTTGTCCCCTCTTATACGGTGGTGGTTTCATCCTGGCTTGATAATGCAGACAGTGAAGATGTCATTGTCCTATACCTGTCGAGTCAGAAGGGCACTGAAGACGACAGAATTTTCCTTGAGACTATCAACTCGATCTCCAGGATCACTGCCCTTTACTGCTCTAAGCAGCCCGTGGACATCATACCACTCCCAGTAGAGCTGCTTCCCAAGAATTCTCTGGGAAAGCTCCCTCGCACAAAGCTCAAGTTACAGTATGAGGAAGGTCGTTTCAACACATACAGAGATCTTGCCACACAAAGAGCTTCCGCGTATCGTGCGCGATCCAAGCGTGCTCCGCAGAACAACATGGAAGAGACGCTTGCTGGTATTTTTGCAGACGAGTTCGACCTTGATGTGTCCGAAGTTGGTGTGGACGACAGTCTTTATGACATGGGAGTAAATAGCGTCCGGTTGATTCGATACAAGAGGATCGTGGAGACTCGTCTCGGCCTGAGCGAGGAAATCCCAATGATCACGATTCTGCAAAACCCGACCATTGAAGCACTGGCAGTCATGCTTCAAGATCTTCAGAAAGGTCCCAAGCCATATAATCCGATTGTGCAGCTGCAAGATGGCCCATCGAAGGCCCCTCCGATATTCTTCTTCCATCCCGGCATGGGCGAAGTCCTTGTGTTCCTCAACTTCAGCAAGTACTTTGCTGACCGGAAAGTGTACGCTTTTCGAGCGCCGGGTTTCAATCCAGGCGAAAAGATGTTTACCACTATCGACGAAATGACAGAGTAAGACTTCTAAGACCGTGCCGTCAGAGAAACTCCCATTGCTAATCAGCATACTAGTACCTACCTCAAGTCCATCCGAGAGCTTCAGCCGGAAGGACCGTACATTTTCATCGGGTATTCGTACGGTGCCATGATTGCTTTTGAAACCGCCAAAAAGGTCGAAGCTTCTGGCGATAGAGTTGGCTTCCTCGGCAGTCTCAACCTTCCGCCACATATCAAAAAACACATTCGAGAGATGGATTATGCCGAGTCACTGCTTCATCTCGTATACTTCCTCGGGTTCATCACCGAAGAGGATGCCCATCGCATGTCCCCGGATATGCACAAGGTGAGCTGTCTTCATTGGGGTAATGTCAGTGTATTCGAGTAGGACTGACGTTGTTCATTACTTCTAGCTCCCCCAAAGCGAGGTCCTTCCAGCCATCATGAAAGTCTCGGATAAAGAGCGCGTCCAAGAGCTGGCTATGGATGAAGGGAAGATCCGAGATTGGGCTATGCTGTCGTCGAAGCTCCAGGAGCTAGCCCATACATATGATCCTTCCGGAACTGTGCAGTCAATGGATGTCTTCTACGCCATCCCACTGCTTTCTGTTGGTCGAGACAAAGATGTCTGGCTCAAGCAGCACCTCATGAGGTGGAAAGAGCATTCCAAGTCGGTCAGGTTCCATGATGTTCCTGGCTCCCATCACACAATGATGGCAGAAGAGAATGTTTTTGCATTGCATAAGATTCTCCGGGCGGCATTAAATGAGCGCGGGATGCTTTGATGGAAGCCAGAGATGTCTTCTCTGATTACATCCAAAAGATAGGATAGGGAACTGTATAGGTGGCAAAAGCTTAGCAGGGACATTCCTATGTCTATGAAGTATGATTCACATGTAATAGGGTTAGTAAACACATACTAGTATTAATATCAGAATGTAATAATCTTCTTCCAATTGGCGATCATGCATGAGACATACCGGCGAGTAGGGTAATGCTATTGTAATAGGGGAAGCCTTCTTGGTAGTGAAGGTGCTAGAGAGCAGATGTAGTGGAAGAAAAGGAGCGGGGAAAGAAAAGAGAAGGAGAGGAAGGGACAAAGGCTAAATATACTACTAGTGGCGATTACAGTAACCAAGTAAGAAATATGCCACCAGTACACACCGAAACGGGAAGGCGCGGGTACATTAGGTATATGATGCAGAAATAAAGACCATTATATACTTATCTCTCTGCAGCGTGACGTCGCAAATCTGTCATCAGGATAGTTCTCTCTAATATAGATAGCTTCTTTTCGAAGACCGTAGCTAGTTCTCCCAGCTCTTTCGCCTGGAAGGTGTTTCGTCTT